CGGATATAGTATAAGAGATAAGATAAATTAGCTCCTTGATACTATTGCTGAAGTGTACGGTAAGTGGTATTATTTAATCTAAAATGTATACTGTGGTAGCTGAAGATAAGAATATGGGCTTTCTGTAAGGAAGTGAATCTCTAAGTACCTGGAGCCAAGCACCTGTAGTTGTTTGTGAGAGTTCACTTCCATCCATCCATCCATCCATCCATCCATCCATCCATCCATCCATCCATCCATCCATCCATCCATCCATCCATCCATCCTCTTCCGCCTATCCGGGTCGCAGGGGTAGCAGCTTTTTTACAGATCAGCTGCAAGAGTTATTTTATTGTGAAAAACCTGCCAGTTCTAGTCATCTTTAAACAGTACAGGCCGTTAGCAGACAGATGCACATTTAAACAAATGTTAAGTTCAGCACAATAATATGAAATCAGTTGGCAGACATTCCCAGTCTCTTTTATTTTGTATTTTATGTATAAAGAAATAACTCTTTAGCGGACATCTGCATTTATATAAAAAAAAAATCTGGTTAATTTTGAAAAATCTGGCTTCTGTGCTGCAGCTTACACATAAATCCATCCATATGGTGGAAAGACAGAGATATGTTTAAAATTATTAATAAAGGATGAATAAAATGAATAAATTGTTAATGCTTTTTTCACACAGTTGTTTTAAACTTTAAATTTTGGGTCAAATATCAAGTCTTTTAAGTCAACAGGTTGAAGTTAATCTCAGAGCTAATGTTATAAATGAATGACTCCCATCCCCCCCTCTGTCACTTACAGTGAAAATTGGGGTTATATAATATTTTGGATTATCTGCTGATTGTCCTAGTAGGGTGAAAAAACACAAATCAAAGATGAAGAATAACAATTTAGTTTTTATTAAAGGGTCATAGAATGATTCTATAGGGTATTTGGTGATGACATGTTTGCTGTTCTATGAGCCCTAATGAAGCCCGGTTAAAAGCCCCAGACTGAAAATACAGGTTTTCTTCCTTTCATTGTATGCTCATGAATATTTAGATGAGGTGTGCTCTGATTGGTTGGTTTACAACGAGCGAAGCTGATGAGCAAAGACGCATCATAGCAACAAGCACTCACTCACTGAAACATCAAATTGTTGATATAGTAGGGTGACAAGACATCCTGTTTTTCCCGGACATGTCCTACTTTTCATACCTAAAAAAAAATGTCTGGGGGGAAATTTCAAAATCATGCGGGATTTTGCTCGACTACAGTGCAGCATGTAGTCGAAACAGACCGGGCGCTCGTACCGGCGGAGGGGGGCAGGGAGCCAGCGGGGGACGGAGCGACCTGTATTTATGTTCTTGGGCTTTTTATCAGTGGGCTGGTCTGTATGTCAATTTCGGAGCATGATAAAAGTACGGGCCAGGACCAAATAAGGCAACATCCTAGAGTTTACGTTGTTTCGTTTGAATTCGCATGTTTTATGGTGGCAGTTTAGAATTGTGAGATTTGCAGAGAAAGGAGGTGTGGATGGAGTCTGAACTCTTCTGTACGAACATTTCACCCACTGGACTGTCGTTATTCATCTATGACAATGGAAACTCGGTTTTGCATTCTATGACGCCTTTAAAGCATCACATACAGTTGAAACAGCCTCTACCTGTAAGCCACACCCCCTTTGGTACCACATTCCCATCTGCTTTCACTGAAAGCTCACCTGGATGGTGATCTCAGCCGATCCGACTTAGAGGACCATCAAGGAGGATTTCTGGTTTATTAAACAACTTGGGTCTTTTTTATAGGCTATAAGTTTTTGTATTGGGGGTGTGCAGGTGGCGAAGTGGTTGGTGGCAGGACCCATATACAGAGGCTTTACTCCTCAGCATGGCTGATGCAGGTTCAAATCCAACCTGTGGTCCTCTGCTGCATGTCTCTCCCCCTCTTTCCTGTCAGCCTACTGTCAAAAAAAACAAGCCACTTAAGCTGTAAAACCTAGAAAAAAAAATAAAGTTTTATTATATTTTAGGAGTAAACAGGCCTGAAACCTTAATGCTTACATCATCCAACTGAACCTAAAGGAGGTTTTTAAAATATTTGTAAATTCAAACCTCCCCTAATGAGCTCCTCACATCCCAAACTAGATGTTTCTTTTATAAATCGTCCTTCTGTAACCTCTGCTTTTACTGTAGCAACTCCAAATTAGTCATCATGGCTACACATGGGAACCAGAGCCCCCCCCCTCCCCAAACAGAGCAGATTTATAGAGGTAGCCTTGAACGCTGCGCTGCTGCTGGTGGAGCTGAGCCCATTCGGTTCAAGGAGAGAGATGAATCCTGCAGGGAGTCTGCTTTCTCTGCAGCAGTAGTCTTCCCCTAAACGTCCAGTAAACACGTCAGCATGACTAACTGGACTGTTCTTTACTTCACTTTATATATGCACATAAATTACACCACAGAGTTCATTTGTTGACGTCAATAAGCCCACAGAAAGTGTGATGCAGAAGCTTTGCTTTCATGGAGGATGCTCCAGTGTTAAACATCCATATGGCCTCCTTCCGCTCACATGGGAGGAACTCTGAGGCAAAGGTCTCCATCCCGGATGACCGAACCATCACAGCTGGTTTGTTATGAAGCAGCAGCTCCTCTGAGGATCACTCCCAGTGGGGAAAAGACATCAGTTTAACATCAGTGGAAAATCCAACGCTGACATCAAATCGTCATCATGATTTGGTCCAAAAAATAAAGTAAAATCAACCTGACATCAATTCTTTGACATCAAATGATGATGAATGTCAAATGATGATGTCATTTTGACATTACGTCAGTATCAAGTTTCTTTGAAATTTCACACAAATTATGGTTTTGATGTTATTTTGACATTTTTTTATGTCAAACTTTTGCAAGTAAAATAACTAATATTTTTCAAAGATTATATTTGGGTTCTAGTGGCCATTATTTTTTAAAGTAGGCAGACAAGAACTGGGATTAGAGAGATGAGGCCAGGATTCCTCTGTACCACTGCAGCAGCTTCAGGTAATATAGTTAAACACATCCTTCCAACAATTACCTGAACTGATGCTCGTCTGCCTGGCTGCGTGTTTCCTGGATGGGGCCGCCTTTAATAGTTGCCTTTTCTATCTTTGCTTCTGTCTCCTTGAACCCCAGTCGGCCTCAGCAGATGGCCGCTCACACTGAGCCTGGTTCTGCTGGAGGTTTCTTCCTGTTAAAAGAGAGTTTTTCCTCTCCACTGTCGCTACAAGCATGCTTAGTGTGAGGGATTGCCTTCGAGTCAATGAGTCGATGCAATCTACTTTGACTCAATCTGACTGGATGATCTGGTTGAACTGTAAAGTGCCTTAAGATGACATGTGTTGTGAATTGGTGCTATAGAAATAAACTGAAATGAATTGAACTGATTCAGCAGAAACGCTCAGTTAAAGTAAAGAATTTCCAAAAAATTGATCAATTAAAGTTGATCATATTGATCATACAAAGGAATAGTAATAAAACAGCTTTGGTGAACTTTAAAAAATATATATGCCAGATGGATATAAATAAAACTTTATGAAATGTCGTGCTATTTACAAAAGTCCTATCAGAAATAACTGTTAAACTAATATCTAAAACGAGGTTATTGGCAACCTTCTTAAATAACTGTGACATTTATTTATCTAACTGTAGAAGGGAATTTTCAACTCTGGTCACTAAGTATTATAAAACACTGCCTTTCATGGGACTCATTCTTTTTTAGATGTTTCTACTCCTACAGATTATTCTACTGCTGCTACTGGGGGCTAAACCCTGAAATAAACAGCCGTAGCTTTAAATAAATAGATGTAACATTGATTTATTCATCTAATATATGATTTAAATATTAAATATTCAATAAAACGCACAATTTAAATTATACAGTCAACAAATAAATGCTAAATAAAAAATAAAGTTGTTTATTAAAAAAAAGGAGCATAATTGTTCTATATTTAAAATTAGATTTTTTTTTATTAATGGGTCAAATCAGTCAGTTTCTCTGGGATTTTTGGGGTCACAGGCTGAAATCTTTTATCAAATAAAATCCCAATAAAATCATTGATGTCTGTGGTTCTAAAGTGATAAATGGGGTGGGAATACTTTTTATTATAGGTTAATTATTAAGCTTTAACTCCTGGTGCAGCACAAACCTTCAAAAGTCTTTTAAAGATAACAAAGCCGCCTTCCTAAAGCTTCTTCTCTCGTCTAATGAAACGTTTAGAGGATGATCTGCCTTCTCCTTGTAATGATTGTGATGTTTTCACGGAGCTGAGAGGTTACATTCTGTGGCGGAGCTGTAATGAGAACTAAGTGGTCAGACAGCTGCTGCGTTCCCACAACAACCCCTCCCTGGCTGCCCGCCTGTCCGTCCATCCTGCCACTCCCACACAGAGCCCAAAAACACCCCCCAGAAAAACTCAAACCTTGGCAAACATACATTTTATTTTATTAAAAAAAAACATGCTTACATGCTGCGAGAGAAAAAAGACTCTAAATCAGGGTAATCGGTAACACGCTGTTCCTTCATGTGCTGATTTGTGGGATAATTAGTCAAGTGATTCAGACTTTTTATTTCCTCTTATCAACCCCCTTCCTGACAGTCTGCTGCTCGTTCCTTCAGGAGAAGAAAACTTTCAAACAAGTGTAAATTTAAATCTTGTGGTGCATGTGTAAAGCTTTTATTCTTTATTTCTTCCACACTCTGTGACGTTAAAGCACAAACTTTGCTGTAATTAGTTAAAATTCTATACGGTAGGCTTAAAAAAATGAAAGAAAAAATCTATCACTTTACAAACAGGTTGAGAGTAAAAGTAAAATCACATAATATTTTCATAAAATACATTATCATTTGTTTGAAATGTGAAAAATGGAGCTTCAGGTTCTGTTCAGTCTCTGTGCAAAGTGGTGAAAGGATATTAATAAACTAAATGATAAAAAGCAGTTTTTGTCTTTCTGTTCCCCAGCTGCCTTCATGGCAGCTGAAGATGGTCGATGGGATGGATCTAGGGATGGTGGGTCTTCACTGCTCGTCTGGTGTCAGAGGGCGCGTGGCGTCATGGCCGTGCTGAGGTCTCTGATTGGCTGACAGCAGGTCTCCCACAGAGCCACAGTAGAGGAGGGAACGCATGGGCCACTTCTGAGGACAGAGAGGCACAGTGCTGACGGTCATATGTTCACTGCACAGGTTTTATTAAAGGATTAGCTGAGTGATGGGACAGCAGTGTTAGAGCTAGAGCAGCTAGACTGGACACCAGTTTGGTGAAGATTTTAACGGTTCAAACAGGAAGTAAAGGTCTCCAAACAGATCATTTTACCCCTGGAATGATGTATGTGCTGCTAGATTTAGATTTACAAATTGTTTTCTTTCAAGAACTTTCTTAGTATAAAGATTTCTTGGGAAAAAAATTTGATAATTTTGTTTCTGTAAAAAAAAAAAAAGAGCATTTTTCACATCAGAAGCATTTTAGAACAAAAAAAATAGATTTTTTTCATATATATAGATCTAAATATCTATAGATCTATATGTATATATATAAACTTGA